CTGCCCAAGTGCAGCACCCTGCACTTGTCCGTATTAAAATCATTATGAGAAATGATTTAGTTAAAAGCAGAAAGAACAAGGTAGAAAAACAAATGACAAATGTGTGCGTGTGTATGTACGTATATATTTTATAAACATACACACACACACACACACACACAGTTGTCTATGCACACAAATGTATAGTGTTACAAAAAGGCTTCAAAACATTTTTGTTTAAGGCTTTGCCTCTTAACACTAGAAGGCTGTTAATTCCAAATGTAGAAATATATATAGATATAGAATTATATATATTTTAATTATATATGTTTTAATTATATATGTTATACATATCGTATATGTAATGTATATCTAGAATTCTAGGGCCCCCTTGTGGAAAAGTAGATTTCTGCTGCAGGGATAAGTATAACTACTGAGTTCATAAATATCCCCTCTACAAAAAGCAAAGAGCTTTGTGTGTACAACAAACAGCTTGACCCCCTGTTAACTGTAGTCTTTTGCATTTCATTTTGCTGTGGACTATCATGTATTGTGCATGCCACTGCCCCATAACCCTCATATATAACCTTGTGGCACTCAATCGAAAAGCTTCAGGGTTCACTTTAATGGGATTTCCCATGTGTTTAACATTACGTATGTATTTGCATGTGTGTTAGAATTAAATGGATTTTTTTTCTTTTTTGGTCTTAAGAAGCCTCAAGCTACAAGGCATGAAGTGCCACCAACTTCCTTTTTACAGGAATGGGAGTTGAGGGCATTTAACATCCTGCAGGATTATATCCTATTGTAACAATGAGCATCCCCTGTTCCTTTAAGAGAGCAACAGGGGAGGCAGGGGTGCAGCTCTGCAAGCTAAGCAGGGCAGGACAGCTGCAGGTTGCTGGGGCAACAAGGCAATGAAGCTAATCGGCAGGCACCTGCAGGCAGCCCAGGCTGTCTCTCCCTGGCAGCCACAGGGTGAAGAGCTCAGGGCAGAAGAGTTCCTTAATGGACTGTTCAACCTATCTTATCATCAGGGATGATCTTGCCTGTGCAACCCCAGTGAGGCTTGGGGAGCCTGGGGAGCTCGAAGGCTAGCCCAGAGCTGGAAGGCATGCTGGCACTAGAAGGGAGAGAAGGTTTGCCCTCTTAAAAGGGCAGACGGCTGCTTCCCCATTTTATGTTATGTTATAGCTCAGGGGCTTATGTTTATGTTGTATTTACACCAGTGGTTTGGGCTGACACTGTAGGGGAGGTATATGGAGGTCCCATTAGTACCCATGGGACACGCGGTCACCGTGAGGTCTGCTAAGGACAGACTCAGGGCTGGAGTGACTACTGAGTCTGGAGTGGGCATAGAGTGAGGCCAGAGACACAAACAGAGGACAGGGCCCTAGTGCCTAAAAAGGCCAAACCAGAGCTGGTGCCTTGAAGACAGATCCGATACAATGGGCCCGGGCTAGAAGGCCTAGCTGAGGGGAAAGGGATGGTGGCCAAGAAGCCCGAAGCCCAACAGGAGATTGACATTGCAATAATACCCGCAAGGCTTGAGGCATGGTGTAGGGAAGGACTGGAGCCATGCAATTAGCCCCTAAGACCTGAGGTGCCCTGCAGCAGCACACTTATACAGTAAGGCCCAGCGAGGGGGCTGGAGTGTAGTGAGGACCAGTAGGTTGCCAGAGAAACCTAGTGTAGGGGTTCAGTCGAACTGGACCCACACAAAGGCCCAGGGGGCAGCCTCCCTTTTTAGAAACATAAGAAACAGCAAGGTGTGGTGTGTGAAATAGAAGGGAGGCCACACTATGAGAAGAGTGAAGCACAGTCACAGCGCCACCAGGGGGTTTCACAGTGTGGCAAAGTGGGGGTCGTTTCCCATTAGCCACAGGGCTAGTTTCCCACCTGTCTCGCCCATCATGCCTTGTTGGTAATTAATTAAGTTGTTAATTAAGATGAAAGGCTGACCATTGTACACCCTGAAATTGCGGGGGGGTGCTATTTGCAGCTCTGTTCCACTCCTACACTGCAGCCCAAGCCTTGCAGAAAGCATCTCAGGCAGTTAGCTCAACCGTTGCCTTCACCCATTAGCTGTGGCCCCCAACCTGTGGCTTCCATAAGCCCTAGCCCCATCTCAGGCCCAGTTGGGACCCCAAGCTCCTTAGTTCTTCATGGGCATCCCTCGTGATGGGCCCCTGGCCCTTTTGACCCTTTCGTCCTGGCCCCAGCATTGATAAGTCAAGTAAGTCAGCAGGGTTTTCAACTCCTGCCTGCACTTAGGGACCAGGGCTCCCCATTCCCGGCTCAGGTGCACCTGGAAGTGTGCCTGGCCCTGTGGGCTCACTCCCCCAGCAGGCTCAGGTGCCTCCACAAGCTTATGTGGCCTACCCAGGAGTATGGCCCACCTGAAGGTGAGGGCTGGGGTTAAGGTGCCCCTACTCGCCTTTCACAGGGGTGGTAACTGGCCTGGCATTTCCTGGGGGCTCCCGCACCACTGAGAGCCCCACCAGGCCACACACTCTCGACAGGATGCAGTTTTAGGTCATGCCCAGGACCAGGAGCCTACAAGCCATCCCCTACAGCTCCTGCCCTTACCTCCAGGATGTTCCAAGCAACTTTGCAGCCAGGCAATGTTACTGCCTGGCCTGCCAGCAGCAAACTGCCCTGTTTATAGAGGCAGCCATGGATCTAAAATGCTGCCACAATTAAGCACCTCCTGGCCACTTGGCTTGGCCCTTAAAGTGGTAGGTACCTACAGTGCCCTGCCACACACAGCCATCCCTGGGACCCCAACGTGCTACACCTATTCTTATTATGACTAACTCTCAGTGAACATTTTAGAAATTGCTTAATTATGCAGAACTCTTTCAAGAGCATATTGTAAATGTCATTACATTTACTTTGCAATTCCTTCATACTTGAGAAATTTTGTATCTTTTCTTTCAGTCCTCCAAACTACTGCTGTACTGAGAATGGTACAGTAAACCTAATGTATAAGAAATGAAGTGGCCACTGCCCCTGACTATAAATATAGATGTGGTAACAGACTGTACTTCATAGACAATTTCTAATGATAAATCATATGAGAGGCTGGATGCAATATGTTTTCTGTTTCTTCAGTAACTGAATCTGAACGTCTCTTAGCCATGTCATTCCCCAAGACACAATGGAGACCTTGTGCCTGCTTTTGGAAGGACACTTTATACAAGTCCTGGGATGTAATCAAGGAGAAGGCAAGCTAAAGGGGACAGGATGAGCCAAAACTGGGAAGGAACAAACATTGTTCCTCTTCTTTGTTGGGATTCCTTTGAAACCACTGGCTGCAAAGCACTGATAATGCTTTTAGCCTTTGTTTGTCTTTGCAGATCATATATGATATTGAAAGTAAATCAATAACCTCTACTTATTTTATTGATCAACGTACCTGAAGGAATAATGAAAGACTCTAAAGTGGCATTTCCTCTTTTACAAATGTAGCCAAGTTTCTGATTACACTCTTGGTTTTCCCATTTTGCACCTTTTGCTGGATTTAATGCTGCACAGATTTTTCCCGGCTCTGGAGAAGGGCTTCCTTGAAGAAATAGATTACAAAACCAAAGATGTTACATGCTAGTATATGACCGTGTAACCAAAGAAAAGATCTTAGCAACCCTTAAGTAGGCTATCTTATCAGGGATCCTGGTTTTCTCTAATCTAAAAAAATCCCCAATTTTCGGGTTTAAAAAAAAACCAAAACCCCAAAATCTACATTTTTCCATAATTAAATTTAAACACCACTAATGCATACATACATATATATACATACATACATATATATAGGGATGTTTCATTTTGATCATGGCAAAATGTGGATTTTGGGTTACTTATCTTAACCTGAAAATTGGGGATTTTTTTAAATCAGAGAAAACCAGG